TCACGCTATTAGTCATTGGGAAAATGCAAACCAAACTCACAATGAAAGATCACTTTCCTCTGGGAAGCTCCAATAAGAAAACAACGCCAATGAAGGGAGTTAAGGGTGGGAACAACAGGAACCATCTGCACTGCCAGGGAGAACGTGAAATGGTGTGCTCACTTTGGAAAACACTTTGGCAGCTTTGCAAAAAGTTAAACATAGAATTACCATATAGTCCAAATATTTCACTCATGGGCATATACCCAAGAGGGGTAAAAAAACACATTTGCTCAAATAAAACTTTTACACTAGTGTTTATAGCAGCACCATTCATTAGAGTCAACAAATATGACAGCCGAAACATCTACCAACCAATGAAGGAATAAGCAAAATTGCTATTCCAGACAACACAGTATTATTCATTCATAGAAGAAAGTCGATACTGGCGCTTGCTGACATGGAAACTTGCAAAGGCCATGCTAACTTAAAGCCAATCACAAAAGTCATCAGATTGTATGACCCTGTTTATTTTAATATTTGTACTACCTAGTATGCTCAAGCAGGTAGGTTTCACTATTTAAAGACCTATTCTTGTTTGTTTGTTTGTTTGTTTTTGTTTTTCGAGACAGGGTTTCTCTGTAGCTTTGGAGCCTGTCCTGGAACACGATTTGTAGACCAGGCTGGCATCCAACTCACAGAGATCCTCCTGCCTCTGCCTCCGGAGTGCTAGGATTAAAGGTGTGTGCCACTACAGCCAGGCTAAAGATCTATTTTTTAAACTGTGTGTGTGTGTGGGGGGGGAATGAAGGTACCCTCAGAGGCCGTAAGAAGATATAAAAACCCCAAGGCTAGAGTTACAGGCAATTGTGAGCTGCCTGACACAGGTGCTAGGAACTGGACTCAGGTCCTCTGCAAGAGCAACATGAGCTCTTAAGTGCTCCTGTGTGACCCTGTTTATATGAGAGGTCCAAAGTAGACAAGTCCATGGAGACAGAAAGTAAATTAGTAACTGTCCGGGAGTGGTTAAGAGAGGAACTGAGAGTGATTTCTTAAAGGGTATCAGGTTTCCTTTTGCGGTGTTCTGGAATTGAGTAGTTGTAATCGTTGCACGGCCTTCTGGGTACACTAAAAACCACTGTACTATACACTTTCAGCAGGTGAACTTTATAGAATGTCAAGTACATCTCAATAAAACACACACACACACACAGAGAGAAGAGAGAGACAGAGAGAGAGAGAGAGAGCAGATAGAATCTTCTTATGCAAATATTGAAAATGGTTGTTTTAAATCCTTCTGGGAACATCAGAGAACCCACTTGGATCATCTAAAAGGAAAACAACATTTTATTTAACAGTTAATTCTTTTTTAATGCATTTCTCTGAGGGCTACCTTATGTTGCATTTTTACTACCTTCTTATTAAGTTCCATATTAATAGCAGTTAGATTTATAGAGAAATGTCTGGAAGGTTGTTAGCTACAATGTTAGCAGGCTGCTGCGGGGAGAAAGTGGCCTGTGTGGTTTTAAATTTATTCTTCATGCTTTTATGTACCACTGGCATTTTCTATACGCACAGCTATCAACTTTATAATCAGTGATATCTGTAAATCTCTTTTTGTTTTGGCAAAAAGAAAATAATTGGATATGTCAAGAAAATGTTAGATGGTTTTCAAATTTCTTTCTACATGAAACCAATGTCATCTCTACTGGTTACTCCCAGGAGGGAAGAACTGTCCAATTAGCTGAGCGATCATGATTCAGTTACTTTCTGAACACTAATCAAGAGCCTATGTGAGCCAAGCTGTGTGAGCTCGAAGGACGTTCAGGCCCTGAGTCCCACATTCCAGGCCTTTTGATGCAGTAAAGAATCTAAGATGTGTAAATAAATAACCCAGAGCAAGGAGGAACACGAAGGGCCAGGACAGCTGCGCTGCAAGACACGGTGGAATCCCTCGGGCAACTCTGATCGCCACTGAGGGACTCTGTCCCAGGCACTTCAGAACTTGGCCTTGAGACTGAGTTCCGGGTTGCCTTCTGCAGAAGGCTGAGGGGGGAGAGACAAGAGCCGAGGCTGTGTATGAAGCTGTTCTAACTCTAGCTCATCTTTCCAGTCTTCCTCATTTCACATTCAGGCCTGGCCTTCCTGGGCTGCTGAAACTCTGGCCCAGGCCAACGGCTCCACACCTTCCCTGAGGGTCCACCCTGCAGCCTCTCTGCTCCAGCCCCTACTTCACTCTGGCGGTCTCCGGAGACCAGAACTTTGGGTTCTGGGAGCCGTGTCAGAACAGGCAGCTAAAGTCATGCCGGGACTTGGGCAGCACTCGCACTATCTCCAGTGTTACAAAGAACCCCTATTGTTGCAGCTGCCAGCCGGGAGCTGGAGCGTTTCCTTCCTTCACTGCTTTGTGAAGCAGTTGAAGAGAGGCTGGGAGCTGGCCCAGAGCATAGATGTTGCCCAATGAAGACTTAGATTAATGGAATAGGGTTCTTTCCTTCCCTCTTCTCCTGACCACAGAGCTGGGCTGTGTTGCTGGGTCAGTCAGAACTCCCTATCCCCCAGCTGTGGCCAATTCACCCAGAGAAAGCACACTTTCCTTGATGACAAGTGACACTGATCATTGTCTGTTCCCCACTGACCACGGTGTGTTCCCCACTGACCACGGTGTGTTCCCCACTGACCATGGTGTGTTCCCCACTGACCACGGTGTGTTCCCCACTGACCATGGTGTGTTCCCCACTGACCACGGTGTGTTCCCCACTGACCACGGTGTGTTCCCCACTGACCATGGTGTGTTCCCCGATGACCATGGTGTGTTCCCCGATGACCATGGTGTGTTCCCCACTGACCATGGTGTGTTCCCCAATGACCACAGTGTGTTCCCCACTGACCATGGTGTGTTCCCCGATGACCATGGTGTGTTCCCCGATGACCATGGTGTGTTCCCCACTGACCATGGTGTGTTCCCCACTGACCACGGTGTGTTCCCCGATGACCACGGTGTGTTCCCCACTGACCATGGTGTGTTCCCCACTGACCATGGTGTGTTCCCCAATGACCAGGGTAAGTTCCCCACTGACCACGGCGTGTTCCCCAATGACCATGGTGTGTTCCCCAATGACCACGGTGTGTTCCCCACTGACCATGGTGTGTTTCCCGATGACCATGGTGTGTTCCCCGATGACCATGGTGCATTTCCCACTAACAAGAGAACAGCATCTACAGAAGAGGATGAAGCCATCATACAACATAAGCAGAAAGGGGACACTTCCGTTAGTTCTCACATCGCTGTGATAAAATCCTTGAGAAAATCAGTTATTGAAGAAAAGATTTGTTGTATCTCATGGTTTAAGAAGGAATGCAGCCTATTGTAGCTTGGAAGGCATGAGGGGGCTAGCCAGAAGCAGAGAGTAGATTGGAAATGGGAAGGAGCAGGCATGGCGGAACACACTCTTGATCCTTTAGAGGTAAAGGCAGGCAGAACTCTGACTTCAAGGTCAGTCTGGTCTACAGAGTGAGTTCCAGGAAAGCCAGGGCTACAGAGAGAAATCCTCTGTCTCAAAACAACAACAACAAACCAAGCTAGGCATGGTGGCCCATGTCTTAAATCCTTAGAGGCAGAGGCAGGTGGTTCAAGACCAGTCTGGTCTACAAAGTGAGTCCTAGGATAGTTAGTTAGGGCTGCTACTTGGGGAAGGGGGGACAGAGGAGACTGAGAAAAAAAAAAGGGAAAAGAAAACAATGAGAATGAGCTATAAAATGTTAAGATCTACACAGCGAGCCACCTCCTTCAGTGGCTCTCCCCCGGCATAGATCCACAACCTTCCAGAACAGCACCGTTGACTGAGTGCTCTAACTCATGGCCATGGGGGTGGGCACATTTCACATTCAAACAGGTACAGTGGGGAAGACATTTGCCAGTGGAGCTACAATGGGGAAGGCATTTGCCAGTGGTGACCCCTGCTCCAGGCTCCTAGAGCTGCCCCAGCTCTGTCCTATGCAGGATCTTTCAGGAAAACCTTCGTGAATGTGAAGCAACAGATGCCAGGATTTCGTTCTTGTAGCAAGAATATCCCTGTCTGGTGCCGGGCGTCTTCCTAAGACCCAGGGCTGAAAGGATCAGCTAATGCTGGGCAGAGGGGCTTGGGGCTTATATTACAGGTTTGGTAACGAAAAGTCAGAGCTGAGCACCAGCATCACGTAAGCTCTGAACTAGAGGGGGAGGTGAGACTACAGGCCAGTTGGAAATGCAGAATAAAACCACCCCCATAAATCACGGAGGTCACGGAGAAAGAAGATTGAATAAAACACTGATTTTGTTATGGAGGAAGGAGCACCCAGACCTGTGATGGATGAGGAAGTAAAGAAGCGAGGGGGTCCTGTTGAATAAGCACAGTGAGCAGTGTGGTACCCAAGCATTAGTCACCGATACAAATGCCATCTCAGGGGTTTTATAAACAAGCAAGCCCTTGCCAGAGCTCACATCTGGCGGGTGATACATCCATCGTGTGTAAATACTTCACACAGCATCGATTACCCTGATCAATTTCAGCCATCTATCATTTTCCAGACTTGCAACCCAATATAGGGAAATTGCAAAGAAATAGAATGTTCTGCTCATTCTAAGGCAGTGGCTCATGGGGAAACAGTGAGTGAATTTCTGCTACATTCTAAGACATGAAGGGGAAAATTTGCAATATTGTCTTTTTCTTAGAATTATTTGTTGAATAAGATCAGGAAGCTACCCTTTTCAAAATTAATTTTGAAAGCCATCCTCATCTCTGGAGAAAAATAAAACAGAGTTATGAGACCCAAGAATATGGACAAGAGACACTGCCTGGAGGCTGCTGTCATGAACTCTGATACTGCAGGGTAGGGTCTCGGGTAAGAGGCAGCAAGACTGGAGGGGTGGGGGTCGGTCAAGGAGTAGGTTTCCTCTCACAGCCAAAGGGACATTATAGAGGTTATTAAGCAGGAAAGACATGGTCAGAATGGGTTTCAAAAAGAGTATTTTCAAAGTTGGGGATGTAGCTCAGTTGGCAGAGTGCTTGCCTGGCATGCATGTGGCCCTGGGTTCGATCCCTAGCACCTCCTAAGCCTGGCATGGTGTGATTCATGATGGCTGTTCTAGCACTCAGGATGTGGAGGCAAGAGGGTCAGGAGTTCAAGACCATTATAAACTTCCTGAGACAATGTCTCAAAACAAAACAAAATGCCTTTCTAGGCCGGCATGGACCACAGTCAGAAAGACGCTGGTGCCTGCCCAGCTCTTAACTGACAGCTTACAGCATTTTATTTTCTGTCACGGTGTGGCATATGCTCTGTCTAATTCAGTGCCTAGGGACAGTCTCACCGGTAACTAAGACCATTCACTACAAATGTCTAAGTGCCAGCAGTGAGGTAAAGCAGCTCACTCGCTGAGGCCACGCAAGTCTTCTGAACACAAAACTCTGTATCTTTTTTCAGTGTGAGATACCATCTCATGGCACACATTTTTATTCCTCGCAATGTCCTGAAGAAAGAGTGAGGCTCAGAAATTTTAAAACACACACCATACCAGCTGTGACAGCCTAAATCTAAGCCCCAAAAAGGCTCTCACAGATCCTGGAAAAGGAGCCTTCTGTAGGAGGCCCCTGGTGTTCATTGTTAAAGCCCCAAGTCGACTTCAGTTGTTTGCTCAGGAGACTGGGGTTCATTTGTGCTAGGCAAACGCCCTACCACTAAGCTTCAGCCCCAATCTCGCTGGCCGTTTGTTTATTTGGTTGGTTCATATTTGAGACTGGATCTCCCTATGTAGCCCAGGTTGGCTTTGAACTCTAGATCCTGTCTGCCAACTGAATGCTAATCTACAGGTATGAGCATTCCGGTTGTGACACTGGGAAACGAACCCAAGGTTTTGCACATGATAGGCAAGTGCTCTGCCATTGAGCTACATCTCCCGCCCTGGATAATCCAAGGCCATGCAATCTATTCCAGCTAATGGCTTTTTAGTACGGCTAGAGAAAGGGGGGTGTTCTCTTGTTTGCTAGCTTGTTTGCTTGACGTAGTTTTAATGTATAGCCCAGGCCAGCCTAGAACACATGATCCTTCTGCCTTAACCTCCCCATGCACCATCTTGCCCAGCAGACTAGCTGCATTTTAAAGGGACCCCAGGAGCCAGGTTGGACACTGCTGGTAATCACAACACTCACAAGTCAGAAGGAGAGTGAGCTGGGAGCCAGCCTAGGACACATAGCAAGATGGAGTCTCCAAAAGAGAAGTCAGATGCACGAATAAATAAGTGGACCGAAGGGCCTGGGAGAGAAGTATCGTGGGGGTTGGGCAATAGAGACTCTGCCTCCCTTCCAGGAAGAGGCTCAGCTGGGTAAAAAGAAAAAAATCATTCCTCCGAAGTCCTCTAAAACCTCAGGTCTCTGTGGGGCAGCCCCAGCCTGCCATCGTAATTTCCAAAGCCACCACCTCGAAGGCTCACAAATCCTTGGTTCATGCTCAGACATATAAATTGCATTAGCAGAGAGGAGAGCCACAGTCTCGTGGTGCGCTCGGAGAAGAGGCGCTGGCATCCAGAGTGCGCACGTGATAACTCTCGGGCCTGGCCTGGCTCCAGGGGAGTCCAGCAGAGGGGTGGGCCTTTGCAGGCCTCTCCAAGCCTCTTCAGACTAGTATAAAGGGAGCTGGTTTTTTCCTTATAGGGTCCTGGCTGCAGCGGGTCTGGAGCAGACACCACACCTCAGGTCACTTAGTGAGAATTTACAAGTCAACTGAGAGCCTGGGTCTGGAGAGTCTGGGACACATGTCCGTTGGGCATCTCTTCCTGCAGACAGCCCTGAGGCTCCTCATATTTCCCCACTTTGATCCTTTCAGCTAGCAATCCATTCGTATTCCAAAAAACACAGTATTTTTCCATCCATCTACACTTATACCAGGGCTCTGCTATTTCAGCTCCTGGTTCTGAAAGACTCAGCTATGAATTGGAAACAGACTTTTGTTTCAGTCCCTGGGACCAGACAGGACAGAAGACAGAGAACAGGGCCAATGACTGTAGGGCTCTGTGCACATTTCAGGCAGGCCAGATTCTAATCTCGGTCCCTGTGCTTGCTGGCTGTGTGGTTTTAGGGAATTCACTGGAATAAGTAAGCTGCCACTCCTTTATCTCAGTTAGTTAGTCAGTTAGTGAAGGGAGGGATTGTACCCAGCACAGGGATGATATGAAGATATGGGGGGCTATTAGAAGTTGGTAGCATCTACATATATGATTGATATAAATCTATCTTAAAGGAATAGACTCAGACACATGAAAAGCCAGGAACAGTCATTGCCATAGGCTAGGGTATGGGAGGGGTGAATAGGGAGAGCCAGGGGTATTTTTTAAGACAATGAAACTATTCTGTATGATACAGTAACAACAGATACAGATCATAGAAAATGCAGCATTCCAATGTAACCATGGCCCTTCAGCTGTCACAGACATAACACATAAGAGAGACGTGGTGGACCTAGGAACTACCTTAGGGATCTACATAGCAGTTCTCTACATTCCAGTCTTCCCTCTGTTTGTTGGTTTGATCAGGTGGTTGGTTTTGTGTTTGTGTTTGTTTGCTGATTTGCTTGCTTGTGAGATTCTATGGACTGAACCCAGGCCCTGTGCATCCTAGCCAAGTATTCTAACGGCTACATCCCCAGCCCTCCATCAAATGTTCTGACCAAGCTAAAGCTGCTGTAAAACAACATTTCAGGAATAAAGCCATGCCAGAACAGAGCAGAAAGGATATTTGAGTTCCTTAAGTATACCCAGAGTCACAAAGGCAACAGTGTCATGATGGTGGAATCCAGTTTGGGGAGAACAGAGAATCCAGGGGTATCTTTGATTTACCCAGAAGCCAGGGATGATGGTAAATATTTCAACAGCTGCCACCAGTGTCAAAAATCTACAGCTGGATTGCCACCCGTCAGACCCAAAGCAGTAACAGGAGCCAGAGCAAGAACTGAATACGTGAATTAGCATTAGCATCTCGAAGCAGGCTGGGAGAAGGGGCCAGATGCCAAGGAGGTCCTGCCATCCTGGACAGGGCCTGGTGGTGAGTGGCTGATTGATTGATTGATGAGGGTAGCAGAGGGAGAGGAGTCTGGGGAAGGCCGAGGGTTCTGTTTCCCAGCTCTGTGGGTGGCAGACCCATTCTTTCAGAGACATGGAATGAAGGAGGACCAGATCTGAAGACACAACGACCTAGCCAGCTGCAACACGCTTTTGAGAGAACATCATAGCGTGTGCTCTGTGAAATGCATTCTGGAATCTTTCTGACCTGACCTTTTAGAACTAGTGGGAGAGACATTGGTCACCACCTACAGACTTGAACCCAAGCATACATGTTCAGCCTAGCAAGGGGTCATTTCTGTGCTAAACTGAGGGTCACGCCCCTGTAACTGCTCCCACTGGATATTCATGACTGCTGAAGAGTTCTGAAGACCTTGAAGCATTATAAAGATGAGGGGAAGGACTGGAGAGATAGTTCAGCAGTTAAGAACACTAGCTGCTCTTGCAGAGAATGGAGGTTCAATTCCCAGAACCCACACAGTGGTTCACAATCATCTGTGTCTTCAATTACAGGGAATCCAATGCCCTCTTCAGACTTTCATGGGCACCAAGCACACACTTGGTCCATATATGCAGGCAACACACACACATAAACTGAACAAATATTTTAAGGGGAGGGGCTAGAGAGATGGCTCAAAGCAAAATGGCTCAGAACATTTCCTGCTCTTGCAAAAGACCTAAGTTCAATTCTTAGAACCTACGCGGTAGTTCACAACCATCTGTAACTCCAGTCACAGAGGATCCTCTGCAAGCATGTGATACACAGATGTAGGCAAAACACCCCCAAATATAAAATAATAAAAAAAATAAATATTTTTTAAACAACAGGGAGGATCAAGGCCTGGAAGAAGGTGTCACTGCCGTCCAAGAACCACACCAGCCTCCTCTCAATGTCAGAGGATTCTCAGTATCTCAATCATCTTCCATTCAACAGCCTCCCCAACAAGATGGCACCACCCTCAGCCTTACCCAGAACTCAAATGAAGAGACCCTGTGCCTGTCAGACTGTGTGCAGTCCTGGTTGGCGGCAGCCATGTTTGCTCTCTATACGTGTAACGTGAGTGGGAAAAAGATGATCCTCAGTTGGCAAAAGGATCTTTCTGGATATTTTCCAGTTGTTTTGTTTTGTTTTTGGAACAGACTTTCTCTGTGTAGCCCTGGATGTCTTGGAACTTGCTCTGTCAACCAGGCTGGCCTCAAACTCAGAGACTCACCTGCCTCTGCCTTCCGCTGGGATTAAAAACGTGTACCACCACTGACTGGCTATTTTCCAATTTTTATCTTGGCTAATATTGATCTTCTCAACCTAGACTCCATATACTTTCTCAGACAAATGTCTGCATTTCTCAGGGATATAGATAATAGTCACTATGCTGTTTTTTCCACCAATATCTAAAATATGTCATACAAGCATCCTCATATACACATTTTTCATTCTTAACTGTTTCTTCATGAATATTTTTAAGTGCTGAATGTATATCTTATTTGTCCGTGTGTGTGTGTGTGTGTGTGTGTGTGTGTGTGTGTGTACACGTGTGTTTGTGTGTTGGTCAAAGGACAACCGAGAGTCCGTTCTCTCCTTCCACCGTGTGGGATCTGGTCATTGATTGGAAAGTTGTCAGGCTTGAGTATTTGCTGAGCCACCTTGCCAGCTCATAAGCGTTTTTATTTTCTACCTATTTTCTATGCGGCCCTGGTTGGCCTGGAACTCACTCTATAGACCAGGCTGGCCTCAGACTCAGAATTCCATCTGCCTCTGGCTCCCAAGTGCTAGGATTAAAGGAGTGTGCCACTACACCCAGCCCATAAACATTTCTTAAGTAAAATGTGGAGGAGTCATACTTTACAACTTGAGACATGCTGCCAAATTACCCTCCAAAAATGTTGAACCAATTTTATGCCCAAAGTAACATGCAAAGTTCTGAACTTTGCTGTGGTATTTTGTTTCGTTTGATTCACTTGCTGGCTTATTAGCTTTTATTTGATTTTTTGCTTCTTT